AGAGGAGTTAGTATGAACTCTGGTGCACCCGTTTCGGAGTTTATTTGCAAAATTTATTAATTTATATATATATATATATATATACGAGGGGCATTTCAAAAGTTCTGGCAACTGGTATATAAAATTTTAACTACATTACGGATTAAAATGACTCTGATACCACTGTAAAGCCTAGGCAAATATGCATTAGTAGTGACGTCATTTTACATTCAAAATAACGCATAGGTCTGCTAAAATGACGTCATAATTAGGTATACTCTGTATACTGGGCGTAAAAATGATTGATAAGGAGAACAATTTTTTTGTTGAGCAAATAGCGTATTGCAAAATTCGCTCATTGCTTGGCTTTACGACAACAGAAATAAAAGCCGATTTAGATGTAGTATATAGAGAGCATGCTCTTTCATATCGAGCAATAGCAAGATGGGTAGTTGAATTTAAAGAGGGTAGAAAATCAATTGAAGATGACCCCCGTTTGGGGCGTCCAGTTTGTGCATATGGCGAAAAAGAAATCGTCGCTGTTGAAATTACGATAGCTGATGATGCTAGATATACAGTTGAGGAAATAGCAAACTTAACGAACATCAATTCGTCAGCAGTTTTTCGTATTTTAAAGGAAAACTTAAAGCTTAGAAAAGTCTGTGCTAGATGGGTGTCGCATCTTCTCTCGGAAGAGCAAAAGCGCATCCGGGTAGAAATGGTTTGACAGTTACTAACAATTTATGAAGATTGTGACCAAAGGCGAATAAATGAGATTGTAACTGGTGATGAAACATGGATATATTTTTTTTTGAACCGGAAACTAAGCTCTATAATAAAGTTTGGATGGGTGAAAATGATACAAGGCCTCAAATTGCACGCAGGAACCGGTCTGTCTGGAGAGTAATGTACGCCTTATTTTTTTTAATCTAAAGGCCCTGTTGCTCAAGTTCCGGTTCCAGAACACAGCAGTGTTACTGGTCAATTTTATGCAGAGAATGTCTAGTCTCAGGTTGTAGAGCACTATAAAACGACCCGACTAACAACCAGTACTAGAGGAATAAAGCTCCTCTATGACAACGCACGCGCACCTGCCCATAGATCAGAGGTAGTAACCAAATATTTAAAGGAAAATGGTATTGCCGTTTTACCACATCCACCCTACAGTCCTGACCTAGTTCCATGCGATCTTTGGTTGAATGCCGTTATCAAAGAAGCCCTCCGAGGACTGCGATTTGAAAGTGCCGTATTCCAGAGTATGAAGCGTACACCGAAAGAGGACTATAGCGCAGAATTTTCCACGTGGATTTCAAGACTGAAAAAGTGTGTCCAGGTCAACGGAGACTTTTTTGAGGGATTGATATAATTTAATTTATGATAATGACGCTCATTAATTTACCTCACACCAGTTGCCAGAACTTTTGAAATGCCCCTTGTATATATATATATATATATATATATATATATATATAAAGATGAGAGAGAGAGAGAGAGAGAGGTTCTCAGCTTCTCAGATTAGAAAAGAACAAATAAAATACAGTCAAACGATGCTATTTTCCATTCATTTCTTATTTGACTTGCACACTTAAGTCTAATAAAGTAAATTTGTAGGGTATTCATAAGATACGTTTTTTTTTACATTCGATTTAAAGAAGATTTGGACGGAAACACAGGCGGCCACAAGACCATAAATTGAAAAAGAGATTTAAGATGTTCAATATATAACGACCATTTTTGTACCTAATAAATGAATGGGCCGAGTTTTAAATCATGGTAGCATTTTTAAGGTGTTATCAAACATAAATACTCAGTTAAAGGAATTTACCAAATTTTAATTATTGTACAATTAATTGTACTTTGAAGTTAACATTGAAGTCTATGGGCAGCCCATGTATTCTAAATATATTGTTAAAAGTAATTTGAATTTCATACAAATCTCTTGGTGAATATATGCGTAAACTCTCTCTTTATTATAATATGAAATAGAATGAATCATTCACTATAGATATTTTGAAAACATAAAAATTCCCTTCTTTTCATCAAGAGCAGATAACTCTTCAAAAACTTTAAAGGTGCAAAAGGACTGGCTTCTTACATGTTATCTGTCATGTGAATTCAATTTCATCGTTATCTAGCCATGCATTTTTAACTAGTTTAAGATGATTCAAAATTGTTCACAATCCCTTCATTATACGTTGAATACCTTGAGTCAATAAATCAAATCAATATTTCTTCGTTAATAATTTTCATGTGAGCAAAATTTTCATCGACATATATTTGAATTTAAATATGATATTATCAATTCCAGTGAAGTGTACCGTTTCGCATTACGTCACGATCTATTTTGACTGATGCGCCCAGCGTAAACAATTCACGCCCCCGGTATACGATCTGCGTGATTGGTCAAATCATTTTTTTAGGCGGAGTCAAGTATTGCATCGAAAGTTCGGACGAACAACTCAAGATGTTTTGTTTAGCACATTCTAATTTTTGAACAGTTTTTTCAGAGCTAAATTATCAGATTATCAGAAAGATAACAACATGGCAATCTTTATGCGCTATCGGCATTATGGGTTATTAAGATTTTACAATAAGTCACAAAGTATACCTTATGAGCAAATATAATTAAAAATAGAAACTCTTAGGGTATATAATTTGATTTTTCTTATAATTTTCAAAATGGATCGGAAACTAAAATTCATTATTCATCGAACAGTTTGTTTTCATTGCTGGTATCTTTCTTATGTAGCAAGCGGAGAGCTCAATTTTTCTATTATTTAACCTAAATTATATACATAATTTATTTGAAAAATGAATGAAGCAAAAGTTTTTTTTTTTTCTTTGGACGTTCGATTTACTGTAATATTGACTTTTGCATTTTAAAAACAAAAGCCCAGTGTCATTATAAGCGCTGTCCCGAAAAAAAAAAATCACTGCATTGGTCTCTCTGAAACTCAAAATAAAAATAATAATTGTACAGATAATAGAAGATAATCAAATTTAATATGAGGCTTTGTTGAAATTTATTCTCAGTTATCATTATACCCTGCAATGTCGTGTTATAAAATCAGACTGTATAATTAAAGATAGGAAATTAGTTGCAGCTTAATCTAATAATCTAATCTAAATAGACTTTTAATTAGATTGAGTTGCAGCCTGTTATGTCATTCTTTATCACATAATATGATATCATGAAAAGAATGAAAAAAAAACATACATGGACAGAAAAAAAATTATCTCAGTTTAATAATTAATAATGTACTCTGTATTTTTGAAAAACGACAAGGTATCAGCTGATGTTATCTCCTTAAAAGCCTCATAAACAGCGATTTTTAAATCGACATTCAATAATGTGATGTATTTGTCTGCTTTCAGAATTTTCTTTATTTTACGAAACACTGCTTCCACTGGGTTCAAATCGGGGGAATATGTAGGCAAAAAGAAATATTCAACTCCCACTGTTGGCAAATAATTGCGAAGCTCCCTTTCTGCCCTGTTGTGGTGTATTGCTGCGTTGTCGGCTATCAAAACATCCCCCGGGTGAAAGACAGGTTCCCCCTCATCAGTAAAACTTTGTGCAGCCTCTGCGATATATTGAACATATTCGTTGCCATTAGATGGTCCATCAAATATTTTCACATATTTGACTCCACTTATTCCAACTATGGCGTTGACAGTAACATTTGCATGACGATTGTATCGAGTTAATTCGACACACGGAAGACCCTTTGTAGAGTGTCCATAATTATTTTGCCCATCTGAAAGTGTAACTCCCATTTCGTCCATAAATTTTAGAGTGTATGGATCTTTTTGGCTAATGTGGTTAATGAAATGTCGCGTGTAATTCAAATTATGTGGAGTTAATCTGTTTTTGTTTATTTTTGATACCCGTTTTAGGTCATGTAAAAGTCATTTCGCAATGTCCTACAAATTGTACTAATACCAACATTCTCTACCGAAGTCGAATTTTTCAACAGTTCATCTCTAATCGTTGACAAAGGCATTGATGGTCTCACTTTTTTCAAGAAATGAACGTACTCCACATCTTCTTTCGTTAATTTCCTTTTACTTCTTCCATTGGATTTAACTGGAACTTTTACAATTCCTTCATTACAATAATGTGTCCAAATTTTTTTAATTGTACGTGGGGTTAATTTAAATTCCTGTGCCGCTTTTGTCCGAAGTCCTCTTGGTAAAGAGTATTCTCCGAGCCTCGCGCCATTCCTTTCCATGTAATCAATGACATTCCTTCGATAGTCAATCCCTGTAGGAAGCCCCTTGTCATAGACTCTCCCTGCGCTATTTCTTTTTTGATTTGATAACATGCCTTAAAAATCAAATAAAACAATTTGCAGTCGTAAGTATATATTAGGGTATATATAGAGAGGAGATAAGTATGATATCGATATCGAAACTTTTTTTTTTATTGTTGTTAATACATTCATATGTAGTCTATTCTATAATAGATATGCAATTATAAAGTGGCGGGATACAAAAATAAAACTGTACTCCGTACACAAATATGCGGATCTAGAGAAGGGGGGTGGTTTCCGTTCTACATCCCCCTCAACTTCTATAAAAACTACACAGTATATTGACCATCACATAAACAAAATCACGATTAAGGACTATCCTTAAATACCTGATGTTCAAACTATATGATTCTACTTTTGTGTGGACGGGGCGCAAAAACACGAATTTTAAGATAGTCTTGCTCATGACCCCCCCCCCCCCCATCTAAAAGTGGGGGCACTAGCCCCCGATGATGCCCCCGGCCCTTCCGTGACTAAGTCTTCAATTAAACAGGATTTTGTTAATAAGTATTAATAAGAAATCTATCTCCCTTACCTATAGATGTAGTTCTCTGCAAATTGCGCGCAAAAGGTTGAAGGTCAACTTTTATTTTTGTACATCATATGGAATTTTTTTATGTAGCGGGAACTATCTTGTTGTGTGATTGGTCAATTAGATTTTGCACGAGATCTTTACATTAAGTCATTTAACCTTTAGTTGTTAAAAAAATGGCGCTATCGAAAGCAGTTCCAAACGCAGCTGATGAGATTGATTTGAAGATTCACTATATGTACTACAATGAAAGTCGCGTCTCGCCAATTTCGATAGAATTTACTGAGCTGATGTCTCCTGGATACATTGGACTGGAAGCTGTCATACAGTCCCAGATTAAGTACATCAGCCGAATGCCGATGCTGAGAATGTCATACAAGGATAAAGAGGGAGATTATGTGGATGTTTCTCAAGCTAATTTCTCCAAATTCCACAGGACCGTGCGCACAGACGAAATCCCTGTCGTTAATATTAAAGTATCCGAAGGAACGTCGCCGGGACATTTCCAGTCGCCAACTAATCCTCGATCCGGAGAAACGACTGCTCGAAAGGAGTTGAATTTCCAGACACCTACTACAAGCACCTATCAGAGTGAGTGTCACAGTGACGGAGATGAAGTCCTCGATTTTTACACTTATCGATCGCCAATCGAACAGACCATAAAAGATCTTACCGATGACATTAAAGAATTGGAGACAGAAAGTGTTAGGGATTACGCTTTGAGCATGCTAGAAAAATATTGCACGACCCCGCGAAACATCGGAAATGGTAAGCAATGCGGAAATTGCCACCTGCGACTTGATCACAATGCAAGACAGTGCACTATTGAAAAATGTGTGACAAGTCAGCAATGCGGCGATGTAAGTAAACATCCGGAAGAGAAATCAATTGTTGAAAGTGCAAATGAGCACCTCAAACGGCTTGAAAAAAAAAAAAAAATGAGAGAGAAAACGTTAGAACACGAGACAAAACAGAAGGCAATTGACTCTGTTAAAAACTCTTTCAATCAGAAAATTAGGGGATATCTGATTAACAGCGACAAAGGAAAATATTTACTAAAAACTGCAAATGGGCATTACGTGCCAAGATCTGGCATTGTCAACATTGACACAGCAAAACTTGAGAAACATTTTCACGGAAAGGTGCCGGATAACTTGGAGCAAATATCGCGCACCTTTCCAACGATAATAAAGAATTTTGACGGCGGGCGTCCCAGACCTCGGAACCTTGGAAATCCAGCTCGGCCCATTCTGGAAGCGAACTCCGTACGGTTTCCTGCGGCATTGGGGAGGCCCCCAAGTCCAAACGCACCATATCCCTGGGGTGAGGTCATGTTTTACATATAATGATACCTCTTTAATATTAAGGGATAAAATTATCTCTTTCTTTTATATTTACCACTAAATAATTTCAAATTTTTTGGTTCATTTCAGATGAATCCGTGCCACCTAAGAAAAGGCGTTAAACATAAATGTACGTGAAAAACTCTTAATTAAATGGCACATGTCCACTTGTTTCTTGTTTGTGTTTTTTTTTCTGAAATAGTCTGTTGCACGAGCAACCAATCAGGGATAAGGAGAAACTACCAATCATAAAGCTTGCGGTTAGGAGGCGTGTACTATTTACCTTGAGCGCAGCTGTCAAAATAGGTTGTGACGTAATGCAAAACGGTACACTTCACTGGAATTGATAATACAAGCGTTAATGACTTAAGTCTATTTCCTTCTTGATTATCTTAAGATTTGTGTAATGTTTTTCTATAGCTTGATATACTTTATGACGATTAAACCTAATTTTATCTGTTGATAAGTTTAATTTATCAAATTGTCAAAATTGCCAATTTCAAATTATTATTAATTTAGTGAATTTTACTTGACTTCATTATAATCTATTAGAACGTTTGACGTTGAATCAATCAAAATTACACATGTCACATCAGGCATCACTTCTGCATAGATGTTGAAACAGACCTATATATATATATATATATATATATATATATATATATATATATATATATATATATATATATATATATATATATATATATATATATATATATATATATATATATATATATATAGGCTCAATGGCCCTGAGTACCGAGTAAAGTTCTTAAGTGGTGACGTCTCTATATGAGTGAAAAATTCTCGAACTGGACGTAAAATAATATATAAACAATCAATCAATTTTAGACATTTCAATTTTATACATTTTTGCTAAAATTTCGCCGAAAAATTGAACCGTTCTACATTCTTATCTGTTTTTGCATTGGAACACTCAAATCTGGCTTCATCATCCGCTTACGGGGCGTCAAAACCCTCACCTTTGACTTCTGGATCCTCTTTACTAAATTTGCCACCTCTGTATTACATTGATATATGTGTTTCTATTTATTTATTTTTTTCTTATTTTTTTTAATTGCCTACCTGCATTGTTAGTTTTGCTTTGGTTTACTTCTATGGACAGTGATTTGAATAAAATTCATTCTATTACACCTACTGCAATAGAGGCAAAAATTCGAAAGTTTGGACTCAAAAAAAATAATGCCATGCTAGTAATTTAATTTTTTACACCCACCACTAAGTTTCATTGCCCGAGTTATTAACTATAAAGCCAACGTTTGTATGATTTATTAATTGCAGTCATTTATTTATTCATATTATAGTAAAAAAATTTATTCAAATGATTGATTTATATTCACCACATAAATATTCTTTATATATAAATATGAATATCAAGAAACGAAATGAATAAGACCAGCACATGGCATATTCTGTATTTGCCCGTCCCTTTCTTATAGAGTTAGAAGTCAATGTGACGTCACAATTGTCATCAGAAAGTCTATTGAAAATCGAAGATCATCGAGCTTTAATCGTCTTTTAGATTTTGCTTTCCAGTTGTGATTTACGTGCTCACAAGGTACGATTTCAGTCGAAAGTAAATGGAATAGAAAATCGGATAAAAAAATCGATAAAAAAATTGTATCCCTGACTGCACCGGGCTAAGATTACTTTTGGAAAAAATATTTATAATGGATACCTAGGCACATACTCTTGTTTTGGTCCCATCTTGAATCAGGGCAACACCCTTTGAGAAACCTTAAATAAGTTTCTGAAAGTAAAGATGTGTCATTTTATATCAAAAGGTGTTCATTTTCTTTTTGTTGCCGCAAACTAATTATAAACAGTACTTTAATAGATACTGGACTATTATAATTGCAAACTTATAATAAAATGAAATGTCACATCGCGCTTGATCCTTAAAACTTCAAGAAAGTGTATGAGAATGAATTAAAACTCAAAAATTTAACATTTTGAAAATTACACGAATTTCCTAATTATCACAAATGGACGAATATTATGCCGGAAATCAAATAGGGTAAGTCAGGGTAATTTCGACCACCGTTTAATTTCGACCACAGGAACTCACCACCACACAAAGATCTACTGAAGTGTTGAGACAAGTTTTATTTATTCGGAATTATAGAAAACTATTCCTCAAATAGTGTTTTCTAGTATAATTATTCATCGCAGATTTAGCTTGATCAGAGATATAAATAATATTTTTACTATTATGTCTCCAGTTTGACGTTCGATGTCCCCGTCTTCAGTGCGCTTGATTTGATCAGGGAAATGCAAGAGAGAGAACTCGTACAACCTCTTTTTAAGTTTGTCCTTGTTCAACAATCTACAGCACGAATGGAATTATTTATTATTTTTTTTTTTTTATTTTTTCTTGAAATATCTTTAAGTTGCAGAATTTTACAAATTTATCTTGGATTTCTCTCAAAATGCACAAGAAACGTCCACATGATTTTGGTCGAAATTACCCCTACTGATTTAAGGACGCGGGGTAAATTCGAACACTTATTCTGAAATATGTGTAAGTTGTCTTTAACAGCTGTTTAATGCAATGCAGAGTTAGATCTTCAAAAAAAAAAAAAAAAAAAAAAAAAAAAAAGATTATACTGTATATTTACAATATAAACTACATATAACCTTTTATATTTAAAAAAAAAAATATGTCAGATTAATTAACATATGCATGCCTAGCTATATATATTGTCCAGGCCGTTCACGAGGGTGCATCACTGATCCACGTGCGAGAGAACACGGAGTCGGCACTGGCTTTGAAATAACACATGGCGAGAGCAATCCATAAGATTCCAAACCCGTCAAATTAACAAAAGAGAGGATGCAGGCAATATTAAATATATGTAAAAAAAAAATCAGGTTTTTGTATTTTTTTTTTTTTTTTCATAATTACGAATGCGTTTGACGGACAAGACTGAACTATCGAAAACCAACGAACCAGTCGTATTAAGATCGTATCAAACAGTCCAGGTACACAAATCCAAATAGTACCCAAATATCAAAACAACACACCAAAAGAGCCTAAAAAACACTCATGTTACACGAAATAAATGATTTCTTTGAGTTTGGTTTTTTTTTTTTTTTTTTGGGGGGGGGGGGTTCAGAGGACTTTGCTTCTGTAAATCTTTATTTTATCATCGTCGGAAACCCGCGGTCGGTCTCGACTGGCCGTGGGTTTCCGACGATCTATTTAATTGACTTGATCAAATTTCTCAGGATCTATCTCTTTTAAGTATTAAAAAAAAAAAAAAAAAACACGTAAAAATACGTAAAACAACGCATTCCAAATGAATGTGTATATGGTAAAAATTAGTGAAGAAAAATATACGCAATTCTAATCCTATGCTCAAAACTTGTACATATTATATATATATATATATATATATATATATATATATATATATATATATATATATATATATATATATATATATATATATATATATATACACATACATACATACATGCATACATACATACATATATATATATATATATATATATATATATATATACAATTTGAATGATTCTGTTGTGAAAAGACGATATTAAATAAAATCCCTTTTGGGTTGAACAATTTAAAAATCATAACAAAGAAATTATTTGTGGAATCTGAGAAAATTTTATCTATTTGCATAACTTTATAACAAAATTTTAAAATATAGAATTTGGAATAAAGAATAAGAATTAAGATGTCTATAAGACAACATTGAAAAGCTTAAGTAACCCAACCCAATTCTTTACTGTATGGATACTAGTACCTATCCATTTTGATCTTTTTATTGGGAGAGATAGATACACGTATTTTCTAAATAAGGCAATATAGTTTCTCGGACCATAATTTTTGAATAAAATGCGACAGGTTAAGTTTACATACATTGCAAGAGTTATCTTTCTTTTTGATGTTTGTTGTGGTCGAAATTACCCCAAGGCCGGTCGAAATTACGAAGGTATGTTAAGGCAGTACCCAGATCATATTTCGGCGAATTTAGACTTTTTTCTTAAAATGTAACATTGATAAACCGGAAAAGCCATGGATAAAACATTTACTATAATTATCCATTGTATAGACGTCATTGAGTTTTAGGCTAAAAGAAGCACTCCACTACGACGTCATCACGTGACGTCTATAAATAGAAAAATTGCCTTAATGAAAAAGTAAAAAAAAAAAAAAAACACTACCCCGGGGATAATTCAATTTTTTTTGTGAAAATAATTATGTAAAAACATCACTGGGTCATGAAAAGTGCTGCTAGATTCCTACTCTCCCGACACAGAAAAAACTATTCCAAAGTTTCGCATGAAACCTTACCAAAATTATTACATTTTGTACAAACGATCAAGGAATTGTCATCAATTCATGTTAATCACACGATTCTAGCAGCACTTTCCAAGTACTATAGAATACACGCTTTCGATACAAACAAAAATTATGTCTCAAAGTATGCGGCGTAGTGTTGAACTTTTGCAACTTTGTTGGTATAGAACGACAGAGGGAAGGCTGATCGGGATTTTAAAGCACTGCCTCTGTTCATTATAAGAAAACATGATTAGAATATATCAGCGTACCTAATTCTTAATATTTAATTCCTTATGAATCGCACATAACATTCATGGTATATGCTTGAAAACTCCCATTTTACATATTTGTTTACATGAATTCTCGTCACGTTTAATTTTCACTCGGCAAATATTTGATCAATAGTTATGACGTCATGGGTTTGGTATTTAGCCCCCGTGATAAATACTAAGCTGTTTATACCGCCCAAGAACGATATAATTTTGTTTATATTATGTTTTTGAATGATTCTATTCATTTCTTGGACCTGAAATTAAACTTTAAATAAAGATGTTAAGAAATCATTATTTCTAAACTTTACGTCATACGGCTTACTATGACGTCATATTGTAGAGGCAAGTAGAATATCTCTGGGTGTAGCCTTAGCATACCCGCGTAACCCATGCAACATGCTTACTTATTTCTAAACCAATTTATTATTTTTTATACATTTTTTAACTCCTAAAGCAAAAAATAGGAAGAAAAATCATTCTCAATTATTTTTAATCTTTTTTTTAAACTAGTACATTTGAAAATAG